TGTTACCAGATACACCGTAAGAAGAAACTTTATAAAAAAGACCAGCATGCCAAACTTTATCAAATGCTTTAGAAATGTCAAGAGCGATGAACTTAACCTCTCCACCTTTATCTAATGCGCGATAAAACCTATCGGTTATTACTGTTAGCAAATCGGCCGTAGAGCGAGAAGATCGAAATCCATATTGATAATCAGAAAGTAAGTTATTAGATTCAAGATGAGAGATTAAATGTTTGTTAATTAAAGATTTAAAAACCTTGCTTATGATAGGAAGAAGACTAATGGGACGGTAGTTAGACGAATCAGATCGCTCTCCAGAATTTCTAAAAATAGGGATAAAGATGGTGCTTTCCAGCAGGCTGGAAAACAAAACTCTAATAAGTACTTGTTGAATATTTTTAAAAGGATAGGTGACAGCTCCGCAGAACACTTCTACCAGACTATAACAGGTATGTTGTCCGGGCCACAAACTTTTTTTTTTTTCTTTCTTTCTCTGTTTACATAACATAAAAATTTTACAAATTCCACTACATAATATAAAATTTAACAAAACAAGTAAAACAGATAGGAGCTCAAAGAAAATGAGGATGACAGAACGTCATCGCAATCTTTTCATAGAACCCCTTTAACAAGATTTAATTAAAATATCGTCATATGACATACAAAATAAAAATTTCAATAAAATATCATAGCAAAATGCGTAATCCGCTAATAAAATTTGTCAAGCAACAAACAAAAGTAGAAACAAAACAAAAACGTATTTAAGAGAATTTATCCAAAGCATTATTAACAAAAAATGTTTCACAGGTTTTAAAGATTTCTTTTTTTGTTAAAAACTTGAATGAACATAATGAACTTACCGTATCTTTGAACCCTTTTTGAAAAATATTCCATACTTTTGGACCTCGATATAAAATACTGTATTCTGAATATTTATTTATTATCCTAGGCAGTTTATATGTGTTCAACTAATTCGCTCTAAGATTATAGTTATCATTTTTATTTAACTCAAACTTATTAATAAAGCTTATAGGAGAGATATTGTGATTGTAACGATACATGAAAATTAAATGCTGGTAGATATTTATTTCAAATACATTCATCATTTTCATTTCTTTCATCAAGGGATTAGCGTGTTCCCGCCTATTTTTAAAGTAAATGATTCTACAGGCATGTTTCTGAAAACTATAAAGTTTCTTAAGCTTTGCTGTTTGAGTACTTGCCCATGAAATGTTTGCATAGCTGATGAGGCTGTGAATTAGCCCAAAGTAGATTAATTTAAGACTATTTTTATTGATGTACGAGCAAACTCGATACATTAAACCTATGATTTTGGTAATTTTTGACTGGATATATATTATATGAGGAAGCCAGAATAATTTTTCATCAACAACGATTCCCAAGAATCTTATATTGGATTGCTTTTAATTAATTTGTCATTTATAAATAGGTTCGGCAACTTGAGAGGAAGATTTTCTTCTTATGTTTTTTTATGAAAAAGTATATGGTTTGTTTTCTCGGCATTAAGTGAGAGTTTGTTAGCCTTAAACCAGTTATTTACTTTATTTAGTTCAATATTCATGTCCGCATATAATTTCTTGATATCGTTGTTGGTAAGAAATAAGTTTGTGTCATCTGCAAACATGACTGAATTAAGTTTTAAGAATGCATTACAGAAGTCATTTATATATATTAAAAAAAGAAGTGGACCAAGAATCGATCCTTGACAAACTGTCGAAGAGTCTAAGCAGGAAATCACTTTAGATACAGAAACTGGAGTGATACGGATGTCAAGCAATGGATCAAACTGTTTGATGGTTATATCAGGTTGAACGCAACAAGTGGAGTCAAGAGATGATATTGATAAAAAGTTCTTAGCAAACAATTCAGCATTGTCTTTAGGTGAGGTGACAAAGTCTGAACCATACAAAAGAGGTGGAGTTACAGACTTGCCCTTATTATTGATACTATTAAAGATTCTCCAGAAGTCACGAGAGCTTAATTTTTGTGATGAAATATGAGATTTCATGACCTGAGAATAGCGGCCTTTGGCGTTAGACAAAACCATTTTACAATGGTTCCTAGCAGTAATAAACAGACGTCTGTTTTCTGGAAAATTGTTTTGCTGATAGATATAGAAGGAATGGTTTCGATTGGCAATTGCAGCAGCACAATGTGAGTAAAATCATGGAGAAGAGTGAGGCTTGACCTGGAATCGTCGAGAGGGAATAAAGGATTTCATGCCAGCCTGAATCCACAAAGTTATGTAAGAAGCACATTTGTCAACTGGAAGAGGAAAGAAATCTACCCAAGGGCCATCACAAAGAAAATCACGGAAAGAGCCCCAATCAGCTTTAAAGTAGTAGTAAAATGTACAATGATAGGGGGATTGAAATAATAGTTTTAAAGAGATCAGACTGTGATCAGAGGCACTTAAGACTGAATGTGGAGAAACTGAGCACTGGCTAGGATCAAAAACAAGACATAAGTCGATTAGTGAAGGTAAATGATTCGGGTTATCTGGAAAGTGAGTTAGAAAGTTGACTATTTGAGTTAGGGATTGAGAAAGGCAAAAGTTGTGGGCTTTAATGCCTGCAGAATCAATGGCACTAGAGCTAAGCCATTTAGTGTGATGAACATTAAAGTACCGACAACAACAATATTTGCTGATGGATAAAGAGAGAGTGTTTGATCAATATGATCAGAAATAACATCAAGAAGAGTGCAGTCTTGAGATGAAGGAGAGCCATATAGAACAAAGAGAAAGGTGATAGAGTGAAGTGGTGCTAAACGAAAGCACATAAAAGAGTAGTCTGTAGATTCAAATCAAGTTTTCCGACAAAAGGGTGAGTTCTTACGAACGTAAATGCCTAGGCTAAGCACGTGACTATTGGATTCTTTACGAATTAAAGGAAGATAACCATCAACACTAAGATCACAAGATAAGACAGCTGAACTCAAACTAGTCTCACAAATAACAAGTAGGTCTGGTGAACTTTGCAAGAGAAGTAACTTTTCTTTCTGTTGAGTCTTAACTCAACAGAAGAAAGTTACTTCGAAGACCACGAATATTATCACGAATATTATCACGAAGACCACGAATAAATATCCAAACTATTGTGAAATAAAGATTTAGGTAATTTAGAAATATTTCGCGAAATGTGTCTCATTGTTAAAAAACTTTAAAATATAAAACACAGTAACAGAAACAATTGAGACAGAGTGGCTTAGCGAAAAAAGGGTTGTAAGCTTTCCATTAGGCGTCCAAGAGATTTACTTTCGAATCAGATTTCATTAAATATATTGAAAAGAGAAAGGTCTGTTTTATGTCAAAAACAATTAATGAATGGGATTTTTATTTAAGTAATAATCAAAAAATAGTAGATTATTACAGCAAAGATTCACTTTATTTAAAATCATTATTGTTGATAAAAATGCAAAAAACGTCGCCTTATGTCTACAGAAGAATAAGCTAGTAATTTAAAGTTTCTACTTAACTTGGAAAGTCTTCACAACAATTTCACAACCTAATTAAATACTTTTATAAATATACTTAATTAGGTTTTATTAAAAGTATATAGTCCGTAGAGTAGACCCGAGGAGTGCAAAGAAAACGAATGCTTCTCTTATTAATTTTGAAATGGTAGCGTCTTTTTGAAATTATGTTATCTAACGCTTTTTATTTTAAGTTTTAAGTAATATGTAATATTATGAAGTACCGTAAAATAGGTCCAGTATGCAGGGCCGGTTTAAAGTATTGAATAAGTACATTTTTTTCCTCCCAGAATTTTAGGCTTTCTGGCCCCACCTGGTCTTATAGTATTCAAACTTAATAGCCGTTTAAAATTCCAAAAATATTGTATAATTCTTACGCTAAGGCTTTCAAATATATTTTGCTTTTGTATTTAAACATGCATTGCATGTTATTTTGTGTAACTCTACGAGAACAATCGTGGACTCTCTTTTAGCTAAAAAAGTGGACAGCACATGGAATAAACTAGGTGAGCGACGCGGTTATTGAAAAAATTATAACGAACGAAGTAGTTGTTGTACATTTCACGATGAAAGCGCTCGCGGTGACCATTGCATGGTGGGATGTTTGGTGGATCAATACAGCAGCTAACTGAGTCAATATTGTTTTCAGTTTTGTATTTTTGTATGAGGTCGCCGCATAAACTTCTATTTAGTAGAGAGCTAAGGCCAAGTTTGATGCATCTTGTTTTGTAATCGAAGCGCTTTATTTTGTCCGGTACTTTGGTAGCCCGATGCTGGATACTTTTTATGACATTTATATCTTTTTCAAGATGCGGGCACCAGGCAGCGATTGCAAACTCAAGATGTGGGCGTATATAGGTGGTGTAAAGTTTTTTTCCATATTTTGCTGGCTCTGCTGATAAATGTACTTTTCAAGATTCTAAGGACTTTGTTGGCCTTGGCAGCGGTTGTATTTACTTGCTTCTCATGCTTTAAGTCATTAGAGATTTGAACTCCTAGGTCTTTTTTGAATGTTGACGAATCGATGTCATATTCTAGCAAAAGGTCACGTGAGGGGGTCTAAAAAGGGAAAATAAAGAATACCACTCATATATAAAATACTAGGTGTCATTAAAACAGAGAAGGACAAGGCACGTCTCCAGCACAGAGGTGCATGGTGCTGCTTCTCTTCATTAATATATTATAAACTTGTTAGAAATAGTATTGGTTTCTGAATAAACAAACAAATAATTAAAAAAAAAACTTGACCCCATTATATTGACTAATAATTTGAAATCCGATAAGGTGCTTAGGTCCGGTAAGATGTTTTTACGCACCGTTATATAAATAACAGTTTAAATGCTTTACAAACGGAAACATGGTATTATACTTAATGTGCGATGAATTTCGCAGTCATGATATTTCATAAATATATTTCATAAATGATATTTCATAAATATTTTTTTTAAAGAATATATTCAAATTATTACGATATCTTACAAACAACTCAAAGTAAATAAATATCA